TATATATATATATCATATACATGTCTCCAAAGCCAAAGCCTATCAAAGCTTAACGCGTGGCGGTGAATCCTCCTAACCTGCCTCCGAAACTGAGATGCGGCCAGATCGGAGACACGGGGTGTGCTGACTGCAGGAACATCGTCGGAGACTCTGTCGCAGCTGCTCTGCGGCCGCGCATGCGCGTGCACAAGGCGTCAGGGTGTCCAACTGAACTCTGCCTACAGATGATTTTGAAAGCTGTCCGTGCTGAGGTGCCTTCCAAGGGCCCAGGAATGCGAAGAGCCAGGTGTCTGTTACATCCAGGCTACACCGAGCCTTTTCACTGATCACTTTTCGGCTCCCGCATGGCAGACCCCGAGGGCCTACATGGCAGGGATTCCACTACCTTTTGGGCTTTTCTCGATCTCCAAGTGTGTCGACACTCATTACAACATTTCCCCCACAGATGCCACCACGTCTGAGAGGCCGGCGCCCCATCCGCACGAAGCACGGCCTGCGCAAAGAGACAACACCCGGCGCTCCCCGCATTCCTCCATGGGCTTATTTTCATGTATCATGCCTTCGCGCGTGTCGGCGCCACAGCCTCTGATGCTGGAAGCGTGAGCTCTGTGCCGGACGGAGAGTCCTGCAGCACCGAGGTCGGGAGGCTCTACAGGATGAAAAGCCTAGTGCCAAAGCTGCGGGATGCTCTGGGGTGGTCCTGGAGTTCGTAAGCGATTGGCTGCTTCAACTTCACGGCTGGAGACGTGACGTCCTGAGAGCAGGCCGGCCGAGCACACGGCCTCTCGGTTTCCACACAAACGGGACCGGCTGGGTTCCGGCCCCGAAGCTGCACACTTGCTGACAGCGCATTAGCAACGAAAGCGCATGCTGCGGCTGCGGGTTTCAGCGCCCGAGGCCCCTGGAAGGACCCGACACGCCCGACAAGCACACCAAAACAACTGCTGAAGCTGCTGACAGACAATCCACTCTCGAAGCCCTTAGATGGCCAGCTTTAGGCCACGTTTCGCGCCCAACGCCGCGCTGCCCTCGGCCCTTTGACCTGTCCTGCAGGCCTTTGGCAGATGTTGACTTCAGCAATGAGCGCAAAGGAGTCGGACTCGGTGTACCAGTGAAGTCTGAGCATGCATTTCACGTTCTGATCAATCGACTTCTCTGGCATGAGCTGCAGGCAGGCACGGCGAAGGCTCGAAGTCCTTTCCGTGAAGTCTCGGTTGGGTATCGGAGCTTCTGATTCTGCACTCTTTGGTTAGCGGCGATATAAGCACGTCACACACACAAAGTCACAAGAAGGACAAACATGGTTTCTACTGTGGCTTGGGGAATGCTTGCTGCAGCGGTTCTCCCGCAAGCGGTAAAGCTAACGTGTCATTCTTTGAAACTTGAAATCCTCATCACCCTGCTGTGTGTTCCATGGCACCAAGTAATACACCAGCCACCCAAGTAGATCAGCCTGTCAAACTGCTCGGTCCTTGTCGCACTTCAGCGCATGCCTCCAAGAGAGAAAGCTACAGCCGTGCTTTCTTAAAAACAACGAGGTGACAGCGAGAGCAACACAAAATTATATCTGATTCAACAGATCTTGCAACATCGACATCCGAAAACCCGTGCAACACACCGCTAGCCTGCTTGTCTTGGACTTGACCATGGTCGGGTCTGTCCTGCACAGAAGAGAATGGGACGCCTTCTGGAATTGAACGAAACGCATTGCAACGCGGCGCAACGCACCCATTTTGCTCGGCGCCGTGCCACAAAGCCAGCCCGTTCAGCCGGCTCAGATGCGCGAAACGCTAAACCCCGAAGCGAGCATCCGGAAAATCGCCGTTGCTGCTCCAGGGCAAAGCCGGCATGGGACAAGCAAACCTCGTAAGTCAAGCTGTCACTGAAGTGCACATCACGTCATAAAACATCATCACAAACACTTAACACCTTGAGAAAGCCGCCCCTCACACAAACAAACGCTGCACAGGGACTTGTGACATCCTGCCCTTCTGTTCCGAGAGGAGCTTGCAGGCCAGAGCCAACCCAAGAAGGAAAAGGCCGGACAGGAAAGCAGGCGACTGGGCAGGAGAGGTGACGGGCAGGTGACTACGGGCAGCCGAGACGCGCCCTGTTTCGCAGTCCAGTGGTCGCAATTTCGGGTCGAAGGGAAAGGCAAGGCCGGGAGCAGAGAGGGGTTCATTCTGTTGCACAAAACATCAGCGCAAGGATTCCCGAGGTCAAACATAGACATGATGCAGCACGCTGCATGTGTTGGGCTAATCGAGCCCGAAGAGCTCTCCATAGCACAACCCGCATGTTGAAAAAACCATGCGATTGCCTCTGTCAACGCAGGGAGGAGGCCGTCCCAAGCCCTGCACGGCAAGACTGATGCATGCCCAGGCACTGTAGAATCCCAGGCTCGATTCCTGTAGTGACAGTGTCGGGACAACATGAGCAGCAGGCCGGTTTGTCTTCCAGCAAAGCAAACGCAAATCTCTCGCAAGAAGGACCTTGGAGCCTTGGACTAAAGATGCTCATTGCAAGCTCCACTCAAGAGATGCAATCACCCGAATAGCACGTGGCACACCCGGCATACCCCGAAGTAAGATGCAGTCTGCGCATGTCTGCCATATCTGCCAGCCGGCTCAACCACTAACAGCTGGCCCTCACGGACAAGCAGCCGATGGACCTGAGCTTCAGCAGGCGTCGGTGCCATAACGATGTCAGGTGTAGTTTCTTTTCGGGGCAAGGTGCGGTATCCAAGGCCTTTTGTTGGACTTCTTGTGGCCAGTGATGCAAGACCATCGAGAGGAGGCAGGCGTCAAAGCTTTCTGCCGGGAGCCCCAGAAGCTGCCGTCCTAGCCCGGGCCGCACGCATCCGCCGCAGGCCTTCAAACGCCTCTCTCTTCTCTGTCCCTGCCATGCTGCTGCCACGCCTTCTCGGAGAGCACGCTTGTGCCGGGGCAGCACCTGCAGCTGCAGGAAGTCGCACTGCCACACGGAGTCATGCCGTGGGCACACGTCCACCGCTGTGATCCGCCTGCAGGAGTCATCAACAGTTGCAGATTCGATGTTGCAAGCACTTGAAAGCGGGTGCAGCACACGGATCACTGCTTTCGGCCACGGCACAGCTGATGTCGTTCTATGGCAGTTAGCTCCGACTCCAGTGCATTGTTGCAGCTGCCAATATCCAGTAAGCGAACTTCATCGTCTTGATCCAAATCCTGCAGAGATACATGCATAATGGGCAAGGCGAAGGAGAAAAGCCAGCTCGTGGATGGACACTTGAAGAACATCGTGGCTGAATTTCGCTGGTCGTACGCTGATGCAAAAGGCACTCCTCCCGCTGCAACAGCAAGGATTTGCACCAGGACAAGCCTTTGATCACCTCAGTCTGAGGTGTGGATGGCACTCTGTCGAAGGCGCCTTGCGGCAGTCGGCAGTCGAGCGGCTCCTGGCGCCCCAGCCTTCTCCAAGCTCGCATTTGCATACCTGTCGCCACGACCAAGCTCAGATACTACCTTCACTGCCTGACCACGCAGCTCTGCAAATGGCAGTTCTTCCCTGCTCTCACACTCGACGACTTGCAGCATCCGCTGCAAGTCTGGCATCTGCAAAGGTTCATCCGACATCACCTATACATGTGCACTGTCGTGAAGTTGCACTGTCGTGAGCCTAAAGAGCGCAAGCATCATCTCCCGCGTGACCGGTCATACCGTCTACGAAGGAAGATTCCCGACAGAAGCTCGAAAGTTGCCTGTCCCGCCCCAGGTCATCCAGTTTGCCGAGGTGGCTTTCTTTGTGGGAATCCGAGAACACCTTCGCTTGAGCACGGTTGCTTGGGATGCCAGGGCTGCTTCTCGCAGGATAGACTCTGCATGTGGCGCCTCGTGCAGGTGCCGTCGCCTCTGTCGTTGCAATTGCTCCGAAGCACGGAATAATGGCGAGGTGCTGATGGCCTGACCCCGCCTCGACACGGGAAGAAACCGTGCCCAGGGTTCGACATGCTGCCACCATCAAAAGGCTTCTGATGTGCAGCTGATGGTCCAACCACGCAGCCGGCACCGACCGTGAGCTCTTGCGACATGCATCCGAAGGAGAATGCTGTTCTCAAATTGCTCCGAACTGAATCAAAGCTCGTTTCAGTGTCCTACAATAGCTTCGGGGCTTGTCCTCTAAAAGTACTTCTTTGTGCCAAAAAAGTGCAACGGCGAGGCCGGTGTAATAGCCTGCTACACACTGCGCACCTTCCTCTTAAAGTCAGCACCGCACTTACTTTTCTGCATCTCGATGCCACTCACCAAGGACAGGTAGCGGATGGCCCTCTGTGTTGAGCACGGTCTTGTTAAGGTCCAGAATCTGCTTGTCCTAACACAACACGCAAGGCCGCGCCACGCATTCACAAAACCTCTCAGAGCCTCTGGGCCGCCCTCAAACACCGAAGTGCGCGCATCCCGATTGTCTTCGCCGCAAGAAAGAAGCTAGAGCAAAAGCACACTGCACGAACTCTGCCCTACCCTTCTCTTGTAGTGCTTCTCCGTCTCTTCTTCCCCACCCATACTTACAAGGTCGATGAGACTCTGCATCACTGCGATGGCACACAGTTTCGAGGGTGTTGGTAACGTTGAGTGTTCCTTGGCTGCCATCCTCGCTTTTTCGTGCTGTTCTGCCCGCATCTTGGTCAGATTTGCCTTGGGCAGCAGCAGGTTCCAGGGCACCTGCGCGCCGCAAGCTGAACACTGCCCACATGGCTGACTCCGTCCGGAATGCGCGGGCAGCCAGAATTCCAGGAAGTGGCGCTGGCATTTGTGACGGCCGATTCCCCCCTTCCCAGCGTTTGATCCGAATCAGATTAAGCCAAAATGCTGACTGTACATTTCTCTTCCAGGCTGTAGCCTCTTTGCGCTCCTACCATCATGGCCGCACCGCCCCCAACCATCTGGCTCCAAGCCGAGCATCTCCAAAGAGCAAAAAGAGATACTTGAACGTCTCACTCAGCAGGAAAGTCTGCATCTCGTCACGACGGTCCAGCTCCTTCTGGAATTCTGATACGGTCTAGAATCAAGCATGTTCAGCTCACGAGAAAGAGCAAAGTATGTCACAACTTTATCTAAGCAGAGGCACAGTTTGAACTGTGACATCCTGGATGCTGCTGTAACCTTCGCAGCTCTGCACCGAGACGACATGAATCTGCAGACGAAGAAGCATTGCAACGTTATGTCGACGAAACGTCCTATTTTGCCGGCTAGGGAAGTCTTGTTCGCTGGCCTGGCCAATTCTTGGACTGACTGATACATGTTGAAACGAGCAGCGCTTCTCTGCAGAAAGCATGTTTTGACTCAATTTTTCAGGGTCCCGCAGATGCTAAGCTGGGCATTTGCTCAGGTCGACCTGCCACCCTCGCATAATCAAGGTCAAGTCGACGAGTCGAGGATTTAAGGAATCCTGGACCCTCGCTAATAGGCTAACTCCATTCCGAAACCACCTCAACACCACCGAAGTGCGCTTTTGCTTCTCACTCTCGGCCACTACGGCCGCCAACACACGGCTTAGACTGAAGAGCTTTGCCATCCGCGGCCGGGTTTCACGACTACCTGAGTTTTTCAGTGATGCTCCCTCTGCTTTGCCAGACAAGGCACCACCGGAATCCACCCGAGCGAAGGCTTCAATTGCCTGGAAAATGGACCAGCCCCAATCCTGCAAAGCAGGGCTCTGAGTCCAAGAAAAAAACATGCTTCTGGTTGCCTCAACAGCCGCGTGGGCAAGCACCCAAGCTTCTACCACGGGCTGCCGATGTGGCGTGCACTCTCACTCAGACAAACTTTTTGTGTAGATATGACATGCGGAATCCCTTCGCCCTCCTACTAAAACACACCCTAATTAGGTACTCAAGTGCACTGCTGCGGCTTTTTGCACCTGCGTCTGCAAGAGTCCCAGCGTTTGCGCACCAGGTATTCCGGCGGCGGCGGGAGGGTGAGGCGGGATGCTTGAGCGGCATTCGTTTCCATTCGTACCTATAAGGCGACAGGTACTCAAGTGCACTGCTGCGGCTTTTTGCACCTGCGTCTGCAAGAGTCCCAGCGTTTGCGCACCAGGTATTCCTCCAGCCACCATTCCCACCTTTGCCGTCAAGCTCCGCCGCCGGAAAACTGAGAAAACCACGCCGAAGTCGGTGTAGACGACGCCTGTAGCAGTGAAGCCTTGTAGAGCACGCTAGGAAAGCTTTCCAGCAGAGAGAACAAGAGGTGGCGCGCCGGGCTCGACAGCTTATGGAGAAATTGCAAGGAACTAATCTCTTGAATGTAGATCTCCATAGTGCGGCTGTTGAGCCATCTTCCACGGCGGCGCACCAACTCAGCGTCTTCACTGCATTGAAGGAGCCAGGTGGCTCCTCCCGCTCGAAGCGAGCCTAGGTCCAGCTTGCTGGATCCCTGCCCATGCCACTTGTCAGTGCCCAGGCGGGCCATAATAACATCAAATCTGCTTCTCAGGGTAGAGGCGCTGTAGGGCCACAACTTGCAGCCAAAAGCCAAACCAGAAAAAGCAAGCCTGACCACAGCCAAGAGATCCGGCTGGTCAAGCCTGGCAGATTGATGTCGGGCTGCCTTAAACCTTGTCTTTGGCTCCTGGATCGACACCAAACAGTACGAAACTGTGTTGCCAACGTCCTCCGGGAGTAAGAGGTCGCCGCGCCTCGAAGCCAAAGTCTCGCCAATACGCATCAGCGCCCCAAAAGTCAGGGCAAGAACACCTGCAACACGGGGCCAACCCCACATAAGAGCCGTGGTTATTGCAGCCAGCAAAACTTGCCAAGGAAGAGCAACGTGATGGCTGTGGGGCTCCTCGCGAAGCCAGGTAAAGGCGAGGTTCCAGGCAGGCTGTAGGCTCCTCCTCAGAGCCGGCTCGCGTCCTGAAACGGCATTTATAACCTCCGAAAAATGCGAATACGGCCAGCCAGCTTCAAAAAGCTGACGGCCGTAAAGCACCAACCAGTTATTTAGCCTCTTGGTCACGTGCGGCTCGGGCTCCAGAAGCTCCGTCGGAGAGGTCCCTTGCTGAAGCAACCAGTCTTGAAACAGCTGAAGTAAACGGTCCCGCCTCTTCTGAGTGGCGGGCTGCACCGGGCGTCCTTCGGTCAGAACCGTAGCTGCACGGGACCTGGAGCGTCTCTGGTCAGCAGCGTTACGAGGGCGCAGGCCATGGCTCGGGGAAGCTACAGCGGCAACCCAAAACCCCAGAAAAACCCAGAAAACCCTGAAGGACGGACCCTCACCCGGGAAGCCAAGGGAGGAGTCGAAGAGCCTGGAGGTGCAGCGGCGAACCCGCCAACCAAAGTGCGGTCGAAGTGCAGGAGGGGGCCCAACAAGGAGACAGAGCAGTCGAGACCAGTTGGCAGCCCAACGACGCATCTTGGGCAAAGCCAGCCCTTCGTACAGCTCATCCTGGGAAAGACCATCCCAGAAAGAGGACCTGGCAGGAGCAGGCAGGGGAAGGTCACGAGTTGGGCAGTCGCCCGGGTTAAGCCGGGTAGGCACGAAGTGGAAAGCCGGGAAAAGGCCAGAGGCAAGACAGGTCGCCCCGATCTTCCGAAGAACGGGCGTAAGTCCACGAGAGGGGCTTCGACCTTTAGCACAGGCGTGGAAGGCAACTGAAGAGTCCACCAACACAACAACACGACTGGGGCCAGCCCCGGCGAGACGCTTGAAGAGGCGCAGGATCGAAGCAGTCTCGAGGATGTTGATGTGGGCCGAGGAGCGCCAAGACCAGGCGTCACCGTCGCGCCAAGGCAGGGACAGAACGACGTCATTCAAGATGAGGTTCTCAAGGCCGCCGGTTTGGAGGCGGCGCTGGGAGTCCACATGAGACACCCGACGCAAGGCGCAGTTGAACTCGTGGGCCAGAGCAGAGGCCAACACAGGAGAAAAACACGTCAGCAGTGACGAGGTTGCGCGCCGGGGTTGTGCAAAAGGAGGAGCGCACTCGCACAAGCGACCCAAAGGAGAAAGGTCGATGCCACAGGCAAGGAGCTGCAGGGCACTGCCACACTGGCCCAGAGGGGCAGGGCAGGTAGTGTAGACGGAGGCCCCCAAGGAAACAAGCCGCCGCCACTCAGGAAGGTGGCACATGACCGAGGTCCCGGGCTGAACCAAAACACAGACAACCTGGAACTGGAGCGCCGCGAAGACAGGAGACAGGCAGCGCAAAGCCAGAGCCGTTGAGGTGGTAGTGCGTTTAGTCTGCGGCGGGCTTCCTCTAGGCGAGGCCGGAGAGCGCCAGGAAGGCCAGCAATGAGCAGCAAAGTCAGACACCGGTGGAAGCACCAAGAGGCTCCTGAGCTTTTGGTGGCGCATGAGGTGAAGCAGCCACTCCAACGTGCGTAAAGACAGGAGGTCGTAAGCAGGGCTACAGGAGAAGCTGATGAGAGGACCTGGGCGGCGACCGCACGCAGCAAGACGGGCGCTGACAGCCCCATGGCTGAGACCGACCTCGATGAAGTCAAAGTAGAAGGCGAGGGGCCGCTCAGGACCAACATCAGCGCCACGAGCCTCGGCAATCCTGAGGTCGAAAACCTCCCTGTCAGTAAACCTTGCAAGGGTGGCTTCCTCACGGGACCAAAGACGACTGTAGCCACCTTTCTTGGAAGAAGTCCTCCAGAGGGCTCGGGAGAGGGGCAGGCTGACAGGAGCCACGACATAGCCACCTTTGTGTTCCGAGGCATCGGTGGCATATATCAAAGGGCTCAGGGGAGCGCTTAGCTCTGAAGCAGCGAGAGGGCACAACACCGAGAGCAGCACGAGCTCCTGGGCAGCGGCCCGCGAGAAAGCACAAAGCCGAGGGGCACCTGGCTTAATCGAGCTGTGTGGCACGACCTCATAAACAGCTTGCAACACTGACATCAGAGGGCGGCGAAAGAGCAGCGAAGAAGTCCAGCTGCCAAGTAGGGAGAGCATGAGGCTGTCCGATATCTGAGAAAACCGAGCAGCCTCAAGAGACACAGTTGCCAAGGCCAAGCGCTTGCAAGCAGGGGAGGCAAGAGTAATGAGCCCGAGGCTGCGGGCCCTCTCGCTGGAGTTCACCTCAGCTCCAGCTATCTTCGCGAAGGGCTCCCCCCACACATCTTTGTCATCAGAGCCAGCCAGCTGCGCACGTTGATATGCAACTTTGGCCCGGCGAACATGGTCAACGCAAGCAGGCTCGGAAGCATCGCCGGCCTTGTGCACACTGACAGAAAAATAATCATCGATGACAAGCCCCTGGGCGCAACGATCGCCCTTGAAAGGCTTGTTCGAACACAGGCGCTGGCCATCCTCGAGAAGGCCAACGGACTCCAACAAGGAACTGTGGGCGGCCGAGCCCACCTCGACTCCCAAGTGATCGCCCTGGGCGATGGCCTTGAAACACACAAGCAGGGAGCCCTCCTCGAAAAGAAGGGGGTTACGCTCATCATCGGCTGGGTGCGAGGAGAAGCAGTCGAGCCGCGACTCCCGGGAAGAACGCAACTCAGCACACAGGCGGGCGTAAGCAGTCGTGTGGCTCAGAAGGGCCGCCGGCAGCGCGGGGCCTAAGGCATTCAGCGAAGCTTTGGGGCGACCGGCAGCAAACTGGTGGTAGAAATCTTTGCGGTCCGTTGTGGAACAGAGGACCCGATCACGGGAGGGGTCGGCCTCGATCATGCCCAACATTGGCCCGACAGGTATGAACAAACTCGGGCCGGCCAGACGAGACTCAGCGAAGTTCTGGCCCCGGCGGTCAATGATCATCCTGTCCTTGTCGGGGCTCTTGTAGCAATTGAAGGCTCGGGCGAGCCGGTAGGACTCAGAGGAACGGAGGCGAGCCGGCTCAAGGTGCAAGAGGCCCAAGCTATCCCAGAGCGAGGCAAGGGCAGCTGTCTCCTCCACACGTTCGCGGGCCCAAACTGGCACAAAGTCATCGGGAGGAGGGCCGCCGTGCAAAAGAGAACGAGGCTCAAGAAACGCCATGTAAAGCTCATCTGGCAAGAAGGGGCCAGGGTCCCAACCGCCCCGACCAGAAAGCTTCAAACGAGAAACGTTCAGCGAGCCGAAGGGCTCCAGGCCTGGGAAGGCATCGTTGTGCATAGGGACCGCAGTACCTGACAAATCAGCATAAGCATCTCCCGTGTTGGCCGAGGAGGCCGAAAGAAAAGCCATAAGCTCCGAAAGTCTTGCAATTAATTGGGGATTGCGGCGGCCTGAATCAGGCAAGGCAAACTCGCTGACAGAGGCACCGAACGCCTTCAGATGCCGGCCCACATGCGCGACTAGTCGTTGCTGTGCTGCATTGGGAGGGCGCTGGAGAGCAGCAAGAGGTATTGGCACACAGCCCGCATAGAGAAAGTTGAGCCCCATACAGACGATGTGCAGCAGGCGGCGATACATCACACGCTTGCGGAAGCGGCTGCTGCAATCCAAAGAGAAACGCTTAAAAGCATCTTCAAACGGCAAGGGGAGCGGGAAAACGGCCCCCGAAGGCGGTGCAGGCCGAGGAAGCCTGGGCAGATGCAAAGTAGAACGAAGAAAAGAAGAGAAGGCCGTCCTAGTGCGAAGGACAGCACGGAGCAGGCCCCCAACCCAGGAGGCAAAAGACACCTTGAGGTCAAAGCCAAAGGCACAGGCAGAGCCAGGGCGACCAAGTCCAGGAGGAGGACGGCAACAAGAAGTCACGCGTGGGCCTCTGCCTTGGGCTTGCGGGGGTACTTTGGGGCTTTGCGAGGCTTCGGGAGAGGGGCCTGAGCGTCGTCCACGGCGGGTGGAGCAGGAGGCGCCTTTGGGTGCCCTAAGGTCTCGAGCCTCCGGGTCGATATCAGATCGACCTCCTTGAGGTACTGAAGAGCGCAAGTCGTCCAAGAAACAGGGGACAGGGGAGAGAACGCCCGAGTCCGGGGATTCGCAACCTGGCCTCTTCCCCTGAACATCTGCGAGGGAGGTTCCTCCAACAAGGTGAGGAGCCAAGCAAAGTCCCACCGGCCTCCGTCGATGGAGGCTTGGTCCATCGCCACGAAAGTCAGAGCCAGGAACTCCCTGGCTCCCGTAGTGTCTTCCTGGGCCAGGCAGTCCATAACATGAGCCAGGCACCACATCACATAGCCAGCCTCGCGCTGGCCCGAAAATGTGCCGAAACGTTCTAGGTAGTGGCACATCGACACCTGCGCGGAGCATTCGCTGAGAGATGCTGGGCTCGGCTGCGAGGGCTGGAGGCGACGAGAGGCAGACTGGAACACGGCCAAGAAGAAGTCGCCCGACCTGGCCGCAAGGGCCGCCTGAAGCTTCTCCCGTCTGGCTGCACCCTTTGCTCCTATGCTGCTGGAGGAAGAGGCCGTCAGGTCGCTCAAGCCTCCTTCCTGCTGAGCCACCAGGTGACCGACCAAGGCAGAGAGAGCCTGGCTCTGTTGCAGCAAGGCACTCTGAAAAGGCTCCGTGGCCACCTCCGCGACAGGGGAGGGAGCAAGGGGAAGCGGGCCCACACCGGCAGGGTCCAACGCTTGCTCTGTAGGAGGCCTCGTGCGAGGAGGGGGCCCAAGAAGAGAGGCCTGTTTGCCCAAAGCTAAGCCTGGCCCCTTTGGAGGCACGAAGTGCTGCTGGTGAGGCAACCTGGCGGGCTCCGGAGGGCTCGGCTGGCCTTGTACCTGCTTTTCCAGCGCATCCTGGCGGGACTGCATAGAAGTGAGCTGCTCCGTGAGCTGAGGGAGCAGGGCAGTAAGATGAGTCATCTGGGCAGCAAGGTCTGCAGTTGTGACTCTCTTCTTTGCAGCCGGGGACCTCTTGCCTTTGGGCTTGACCTGCAACAAGGGGGCCTCCTCCTGAGCAGAATAGAAAGCCAGCCGGTCGTGAGGGGTGTCGGCCAGCCAGTCGCGAGCAGCAATCAGGAGGTCGTCCGAGAGCGGGGTAGCATCCGGCTGGTGCAGCAGGTAAGGAAAAATGGTGTCCGTTCCAAAGTCCTCGCCCAGCTCCCGAAGCTGGGTCAGCACCCCGCTCCCGAAGTCCACAAGTAGAACCGCCGCCTCCAGGTCCACTGCTTGTTCGGTCCCCTGCTCGTCGGCAACTCCAAAGGGAACACTGACCTGCCGGGAGAGGCCCACAGTGGCCAGAGCATCGGCTTCTGCCCCCGCGTCGAGGACCGACAGAGCCAAGAAGCCGCACGGGATACACAGAATCACACCCTCCTGCCGCTTCAAAACCGGTATGGCCACGGCTTCTTGCAGATGCGAGGTCCGCCCCTCGGCGGGCCAAGAGAGGGCCAGGAAAGAGAGGGCCCCGTCGGCAAGGGCTTCCACTGATGAGAGCTCCATCACTTCTCTGGAGGGAGGTCGAAGCCGGCGGCTTCGCAGAAGATCTCGGCCTCAGCCAGGGAGGCAAAGGCGTGGCACACTGTGGAGGAATGCTCGAGGGCACCCACGGCACTCTTGAAGGTCTTGAAAGAGGAGAAGCGAGCAGGCCCCTCGAAAGCACTGGTGCGGAGCACAATGTAGATGCGAGGCCGAATGGAGTTTGGCAGGCGAACAGAAGGGCGAGGTGTAGGGACCTGGTCGGCCAAAACCAATCTAGCCCAATGGCCTGCAATCCAGGCACGAGTGGCACGGGCCTCGGGAGAGGAACCTGAACCTGTGAGGGCGCGGCAGGAATGCACACACCTCTGGGGCACAGGAGGAATTGACTCCTCAAGCCGGTTGTAAAGACCAGTAAGCTCAGCAGAGGAAAGCGAGGAATGGTGGGCAGCCTGTGGCACAGAGGCAGAGGGCCCCGGAGCCTCACGGGAACCCGGCTCAACGGGGGAGCTGGGGTCTACTACCAACCAACCACTATCAGAACCTCTAGGGCTGGAGGGGTGTGCGGGCCGAATGGCAAGGGAAAGGCGCTCGAGTGACTCAGCAAGAAAAGTGATGGCCTCAGACAGGCCTTTGTCGCTCATACAAGAAGGCACGAAGTCGAAGGTCTGCAGGACGAGCCGGTGAAGGAGGAGTTTGCTGAGGAGTTGGATGCGGCTCCCGGGGAGGAAAAGCAAACAAGGCTTCCCTGAAGAACCCTAAAGTAAGAACCACCCCCAGAAGGACCCCGGAAGCAAGACACAACACAATCACGAGAAGGGAGCCCTGGCAGTGACTAGGGCACCCTAAGCCCCACCAGTTCGACTGCACACCGACCTGAAGTAGGCCAAGGGCCTGCTCGAACCACATGCTTGAGCGGCATTCGTTTCCATTCGTACCTATAAGGCGACAGGACAAGTTTCGGAAAAAAACCACCCTGAAATCGTCCCCGCCTTGTAAACGGAAATTTGGATTAGGGGATTCAGGAGCAAGGGTAATAGGAAAAGCAAGAGCAAGCCCAGGAGCAGGAGCAAGAGATGCGGCGGGGAGGGCCCTCCGTTCAATGTCTAGGCTTTGAAGCTTATGCCGAACATAAATTGAAGGGCCTGCCGCCCTGAGACTGCTGCGGAAATTATGAATCTCATCGCAAAGTACACTCCATGCAATGGGCCACGTCGTCGAGTCGTGGCTGCTACTGCGCCTATTGCGATGCAGCGACGGCTCTGTTGCAACAGCACCACTCCGGCTGTCGTGCAATTGCAGCCGGAAAAACCTGGAAGAGACTGCTTGCTGGCAAGCGTCCTGATATTTGGGGTCCCCGGTTGCAAGATACAGGTACCTGCCCGCCAGTGGCATTTCAAGGGAAGCATTTCATGGTTTAAAGCCTGAATTCACGAAAACCGTGTTGCTACGGCTCGCCCTTTGCTGTCCCGAGTGGTCACCACAGGGACTCGACAACCTCTGGTCTCAAGCTGCAGTGGGCATCTTTCGGTGTGGCCTCCAGTGCTCGGGCTTTGGCAGCTCCTGAAAGACCCCCAAGCTCCCGGCCCGAAAGTCGAGGGAGCGCTGAGGCGCTCGATTCCAAAGGACGCTCTCGGGAGCTAAGCCTCGGTGCTTCCGCTGCATTGCCGCATGGCAGGTGCCCTTACTCTGAGTTGTCTCCTTTCCTGGCCTCGAGGCGAGTCTAACCACATCCTGGTGCAGCTCTCGGTTAAGTCTTGTGCCAAGAGCAACTCCTTCAGTCGATAAGGGCTCGCACACTTCAGTCAGCAGAACAGTGCTGTTGGTCCTCCGCTGGCTGTGCTGCTGCTCCGGTAAGGACTCCCAGTGCCAGCACCCCAGGGAAGAAACAGGAGAGATGGTCCTTCAAAGCCGACGAAAGGCTCCACTTATCGAGGAGACAGTTTGCGGGATCTGAAGGCCGAATTCCGAGAAGTGAACACTCTCAACTGCGCAAAGCCGCTGCAAGAGTTATCCGGCAGAAGAGACTACAGCTATGAGGAGCGTGGTCAAGGCAAACGCGAGAAAGAGAGAGAGAGAGAGAGAGAGATGAAGCTGGAGGCGCCGTGTGAAAAGTGGCCTTTTACGGTCAGGGTAAAACATCTCACTTTGCAGGAGCAGCAACAGCGAGGCAGCCCGGCAGTCCATCTTGAACTCCTGTCGGCTGTGGCAAAGGTCTTGGAGCTGACCACTGAGCATTGCATCAATCCTGATGCAACACATCAATTCAACTTCGCGACAGCAAAAGGGTCGAGCAGGCCTGTATTGGCTGCTTGCCGAGAGCTGCTTGTGTGGGGGCGGCAATACGACTGCCATCATCTGGACAACATGCCAAGACTCTACGCATTCTCAGCAGACTCGGCTGTGAGCCCCTGCTTGGGCTCCAGCTTTGCTGGCGACGTCCCAACGATGCGACCGCAGGAGCTCCATCCTGTGCAACTCGATAGCACCAAACTGGCAAGCTGCCTTACCCTTTTCGGGGAGAGACTCGTATCAGCTTACGGATCAAAACTGACAGGGCTGCGGTTCTAGATTCTAGATCGAGCCAAGCATCAAAGCACATGCAGTGTCCGGTGACATGGACGGGATGATGATGTATGCCCATGAAGGCTGCGAACGATTCTGCAGGGGTGGCTCCTGCACCTCCGCTGTCAGCCGCCCCCTGCCCTCCTTTCACCGCCCGCAAAGCTCCATAGTCTGAGCCGGGTGTCAGATCCGTTTTCTTGCTGATGCCTCACTCCTGCGGTGATGATGGCATGTCAAGCACGAAGTCCAGAACGACTGAAGCAGAGATACCTTGTGCTACGCTACCTCATAAAGATCGTTGTCAGGTTCCTTCCATGTCAGCCGTCGGTGCAGGCGAGCTTGCAGAGGCCTGGTATGACTCAGGGCTGCGGATATGCAGAACATCGTGCTGGTAGCGACTGTGCCTGTGACTTCTCCTCGTCCTGTAGCCCTGCCGTCGCATCCTGGAACTGGAAGAAGAAGGCCTGGGCCGGAGTCAGCGACCGCGCTTGTCTGCGCGCCTCCGAAGAAAGGGCGCAGTCGCAGCCTAAGACCAAGACCAGACCAGACAACTCTTCCCCAGTCGTCTCCGGATCCCACTGCCATCGATCCTCGGAGGACAACACCGACAAGACCTACACATTTCGCGTCGTGGCACCAGCCCTGTCCAAGCCGCTGATAGAGGAACAAGTTGGGAGATTGAATCCCAAGCGCTGACTTCACCTGTAGCATGTGATGTTCCTTCATGCCTGACTCTTGCGGGATTACCCTTTACATCAAGCTTTAGTAGCTGGCAGTTTGCAAGCACAGTTGTGGGGCGGTTAGGTTGCACGTGCCTTGAATCTCGAAGCAAAAACACACCACTACGTGTTCAGCTTCGTCGCGAATGAAGCTGAAGTTGGAGGGGCGTGACTGGCCGACGAAAGCTCGGCGAATGCCGTCGACGCACAGTTGATACCTGAGAAGGTCGCATGCGCTACAGCGGCAATATGCAGCATAGAGAGCGCCAAGGGGCCAGGATCTGTACTTCTCCTCTGTGCGATTCGTGATGAGCCACTGCTTAAGCAAGTACTCATAGAACGAGTCACCGCGACCACCGAGGGTGACCTCGGCATGCCAACATCCAACAATGCAACAACTCCCTGTAGCCAGAGCCTGTGGCCGCCACTGATTGAAGTCAAGTGGCTCTTGCGTTCGTCCAGTGCATGGGTGGCTGTGGGTGTATCCTGGGGCAGCTCTGCTTGTTTCACATGCTGCGGGACCAAGGCTGGCTCAGTCGAGATGGAGCAGCGTCTGAAAGCTAGGAAGTGGCAAGTCAAGGATCATGATGGGTAGGAGCCCACCGTGGTTCTGATCCAAGAAAATCAACAAGCTCAGGAACGCAACACTCCCACTCCCTGTAGGTCAAGAAGTTCAAGGCGAGTCTCAACCAGCAGGGTTCCCAGCAGATCCATCACGTGGTTGCCTCTGGTGCGGAAAGTAGGGTCACCTGTGACAACAGCCACCACTGAAAGGGCCGCATGTTCGAAGGCATCAGCAAAACGGCCGGCCAAATTGGATGAGTCGAGGCTTGTTGCAAGTTTTGCCTCAAGACATGTCTGGCGCGGGAGCCCTGCCTGTCCATGCACTGAGCAATGTGAACTCACCTGAGCCCAGCGCATGCAAGGCTCTCTGCTCAGATGCTTCATGTGATCCCGTTTGCCGCGGTGGCACCCTGGATAGTCCCCACTTCTGCCAAGGTGGATCCCAACTCTGGCTCTTTGAAGCCGGTCTGGCCAGTCTTCAGGTTGACCTGTCGCCCGAGCACGGGCCCCCTGAGATCGTGTCCTCATTTCTCGACTTCTGACAGGGAGCCAGCTCGTGGGGCACCGGGCCCTCGCGCCATGCACGCAAAAGTCGCTGCCCCAGCCTTAGGGGCCGACACTGCAGAGCCTGGCCTAGACCAGCACACCAACATGTCAGCGTCTCTCCGTGCAAGCTTGGTGGCTGTGCCGCGTGAGCCAGAAGCTGCAGTTGCCCACTTAGCCCTGTCCACATGTCACGGTAGCTGTGGTAGTTGGCATGCCTTCTGAAAACTGGTCTGGTCTTCACCAGCTCGTGGTGTCCGGCCGTAAGCAGAGAGAAGCCCGCCCAGCACGCTGATGACCGTCTCGAACACGCTAACCTTTGGACGCAACAAAGACGGTGCGGTTTGCTTCACGTCTCATGGTACCGGCATACCGACACCGAAAAGACTTGGAAGATCTTGGAAGAGCATCATATGTAGCGATGACTATGTCTGCAAGATCGGCATAAGCAGGGCCAGGCTTCCACCACCCGTCGTAGCAGTCAAGCAGCTGTCACATCAAGGTCCGACGTGAAATTCCGAAGGACCCACCTGGCATCAGCAGACGTCCACCAAAGAAGAGTCAACGCTGGCCGGGACCTCTCGGCTTCGTAATAGTCCTTCAATCCCCAAGCGTACAGATCGTGGCACGAGCAGTGCAGCCAACACGTCCTCCTGAAGTCCCAAAAGCCACAGTGAGTCCAACGCATCGATGATCTGCACGCCCAGACCTGCAAGCGGTGCTTTGGAAACTATGACTATGAAAGCCGAACTAGCTCGCGGTGCCTCCGAAGTCCTTGCTGCAGCTCTGCGTGATCGGTCGAAGCTCGTCTTGGCCCCAGCAATGGACCTGACGCTTGGACGGCTTTGACCATGCTTTTGACAGTTGACATCCTCGAGCACCCAATCGTCTGTCTCTGCACCTTGTAGGCATTCCAAGCGTGAAGGAAAGCCGCCGCCACCGATTCCTGCCTCTCCTCGAGCAAAAACGTCTCTGGGGATCTCTGGCAGCTTCTCGCAATCTCAGCTGCCGGCATTTTGTGGACCGACAACCTCGAATTCCACTTTCGTGAATCCGCTTGTCGGTTTCCCATGCAGTAGCAAGGCCACATGGCAGAGAGCAACAGTTCTCGGGGGCATGGATCCAAGTGGCTGCAAACTTGCGGCATCTTGCGACAAGATTCTCCAATACCAGCAATCGCTCCACTCAACAATGCACTTGCGGCACGTCCTAGGGCCGTTTGCTTTCTTCTCCTTGGCAGCATCCTCTGCCTGGAACGAAGCGCTCATAACGTTTCGCACGAATTTGCGATGGGAGTCAATGCTCCGTTTTCTGGTTTAGAGATCTACATTCTTGACCCGACTCGGCCCCCTGCGAGCAGCTCCTCACCTTGCAAATGATTGGTCTAATCAGCAGGATGCCGCGAAACAGCACCTCATGCCCTTTAGCCCAGCCCGCCGTTCCCAACGCCGCAACGCTGACTAAGGGACGTGCAGCTTCTAAGTTTCGGATGCCGACCCGTCTCTGGTGCCATGCGTGCCAGGCTACGCAGCAGCAGCAGCTGGCGGCGGCGACCGAAAGGTTCAAGGCCCATTGCCTTACGGAGGCAACGAAAGGTTAGAGGAAGCTGCAAGGCGAAGCGGCGAAGATAGCGGTGCTTCCGATTCCTCCGAGGCAAAGGCGGCGAGTTCGGCCTCCACGACAGCACGGGTATCGGCCCACCGGCGCTATCAAGTGGGAACGGGTCATTTCGGCATGGAAAAATGATGACCTGTCTGACCTTTGAGAGAAGTTCCGGGCTTGGATCATGAGCTCGAGACCTCGTCCAGAGTTCGCAGCACGGCACCCGACACCTGCCCCAAGGTCAGTTGACTGCCTTACGGAACGATACGGCGCGTCTAGAAGGGTTTACGGACAACAATTATCGTATTGCAGGGTCATGAAGCTTCAGTGTTGGCAACCTTGTCTTCCTCGCAAACGCAACACGTCGCTCTGCTTGTGTAGTTATCAAGGTTACCTGCTTGGAGCCCTGCGGCATGAGAGCCGGAGCCGGTTGCTGACATGGTTGCAAGGTTACATCGGGTCGCCACATCGCCCGTCATGACAATGCCAACAGAACAGCCCATGGCAACTGGCAATCTGCCTCGTGCTTCCGGAGCCAAGACGCCACCTGCTACCGAGGCTTGGCCACTAGCAACATATTGAACATACAGGCTCTGGGATGCCCTCTGTAAAGAAGCAGGTGCCCGTAGGAAGCTCGTGATGACTCTGCAGTGACAGTGCCGGCCCCGCCGTTCATGATTCATGTGTTCCGGATAATGCCGTCTCGACTGTTGCTACACATGCACTACGATTGTTGTTACGCGCCGAAATCCAGCTCCTAGCATGTGGCGACTATGGCACCACGCATTATCTTGCTGTATGTTCAGCAGACAAAACGTGCGGCAGACGTTGAAGACTTACAAACGCAAGTAGCAAAAAAACAATTAAACACGCAAGGAAGTAAGCGAGCGACTGCGTGTCCGAGTGTGGCTGACACGCTTAATTACACCACTTGACAAACGAACCTTCCGTCTCTGGTAGTGCCTTGCCCTTTGGCCCTTTACCCTTGACCTCACTGTCCATGGCTGCAGATTTATGACCAGCCCCTGAACTCCCAACGCACACCCATCTACGTCTCGGGCTCGATGTTTGCGTCTCCTGGCCGCAAGTGCGTGTCTTTTTGTGCCGCGCCTCTTGCACGGGCTTCTAGCAGTCTAGCTTGTTGTGGAAAGGTGCAGACAACCCCTCGTCTTGTAAGAAGCTGCTTATGCTTTGTCACAGAAGTCGGCTGACGACCCCGGTTTACCCCGGCATGTCCGAACACAGCTCGTGCGACCACCTGGTCTGCAGAGTCGGAACTGTTCGTCATTCGCTGGAGAAGGCCAGGTGTGTCGTCAAAAGGAAAAGCCGTCTCTGCTGCAAAACCAACAAAAACTGACACTAGAACGATCTCAGCATGGTATGATGCCTGCACCCTTCACGACTTGACGCATCTGCATCTTGTTCTGCCGGATGGACGGGGCACGTCAGAATAGTCTCGTTGTCCTACGACTCCAAGGCAACATGTCCGGCAAAGCCGCGATTCGTCCACAAATGCTACATGGATCCCCGGCTTCGGAGATCGCGAATTTACACAACAAGCTGCCAGAGCTTGTGCTGTTGGAAACAAACCTGCAAGAGCTGACTAAATCAGTACGCCATCTGCAAATGCAATCGACGCTAGCACGCTTTACTTCAAGGAAATCCTAAGATAAGAATTGACTTGGCATTCCAGCTGCCTACCAATCCTCTCCTTTCAGACGGAAGCCCCGCTTACGGAGCATCTCGGGAAGCTGGTTGTAGCCTTGGGCAGAAGTGTTGCAGATTGGGCTGTGCGGGTGCCATGCTGCGATATGCTGCCATGATACTGTAGTGAGTGAGGTCGATCCTTTCCTCTCCATGTTGCTCTCCGGATACAAATCAGCACAGCTCCCCAGCCCTGTTTGGGGTCCTTCTCTTGGCCGTTCTCGTCAAGAACGATAAGATCAGGATTGTGCCCCTGCACCCATTGTACCTGCAGAGATCTTTCATGGCGAAGGAAAAAAGCCTGCGCCCATGCTCTCTTGTGCATTGCGGCGCACATCCAGATTCTGCCATTCATTCCATTTCTCTTCATCTCTCAGCCAGCGGCGAACATCAGCAAAATGGTTCAACCTGCCAGATGAGTGAAGATATTCTTACCAAGGTGTCGCTTCATTGGCATGGGATTGTTGCCAAGACTAAGGCGACAGCTTTCATCCCTGGCAGGAAATGATGTTTCCCCGAGCAGCCGGTTTCAGGAGGCCTGCGAGGTACTCAACGAAATCACTGAACTTCCACTAAATACTCTCTCTCCCTCTCAATTTCAGCCGGACGGCTGCTAACGTCCACGATCTTGCAGGATCGCTCCTGGCGAACCGGCAAGTTGCGCTCTTCGTGAGCTCTTTTCACCCGGCGCCTCGCAGTGGCCGCTAGCGTCACAGGATTGTGCGCCGCAACCCTTGGCAGCCGTTGGCTGCCTGAGGTACTCCGCGAATTTACAGCTTCTTGCGCCGATTACGTGTCGCTGGATCACAGTAGGCGCAGGAGAAAGGTTATAGCCACAGTGTTAAGTGAATGTGAAAAGTCTCGCAACTTGGCGGAAGGGTGACGGCAGTGTTCGCGTTCGGGGTTTAAGGTGTAGCTAGCCTTTGAGGGTTCAGGGTTCTACATTTTGGGGTAAGGCGGGTAAGGTAAAGTTTCGGTGCAAGGTTTCGACTCACACACTCGCTCCAAGCAGGCAGGGCCTCACGACCTGCAGGGTTGTTTGACACTCACACTCGGACAAGCCTGGCAAGGTCTGTAGCAATACTGGTCTCAACAGCAAAGGACAGTACTGAGAATATATCACCAAGTACTGTATACTCTCAGGCAAGGCCAGCGACATGACAGAAACAAGTGTGCACCAATACACATTGGCCTCATCTGACGGCAGTCTACCACAACAGCAAACGACTAACACCCTAGCCACACCCTAGTTCAGCTGTTTGGTAGGCTCGTGAAACCTTGGGCCCATGTATTTACACTCGTACTACATGCAGTTTCCTCACGACAAACATTCATGCAAGGACACACAGTTTGGGCATTGCAGGCATAAATTACCCAAAACGCCCACTTGGGTTGTGCATGCATCAAGTAACCACAACACTAACTCACTCGCACTGACTCTGACCACCACTTGCTCATCTTGGACCATGCAGCACGCAGCTGCCCGCAGAACATTGTATGCAGGGTATATCTCCGGCTTCCAAGTCATGCAGTCATGCAGTAAATCCTGGCCAGTCTCCCGGTTGTAACGCTCATCCAATGTAGTCATGCAGCAATAAGCCAGTAAGCTGTAATCCAAGCATGCTCCCTGTTCAAAACATGTCTCAGAGTCTGTAATATGGATTCGGATGAAGCAAGTTCCAGACCACATACTCAAAAGCCCACACGCAGGAGGCATGCAGCGGGCAACAAATACACAAAGAAAGCAACAAGGATAACACGTGGACGACAGGTGCACGACATCGGGCTTCAAGTATGAGAATACGACCAGAATAAGAAACAAGAACGAACGAGCCACATCACATCAGAGTAGAAGCCCATAACAGTGGAAGAACAATCCACGACTGACAGCAATGAGGATATCCGTAGAACCCACCGCGCCATCATCATGACACATGCCTGTGGTGAGGACAAGCCAAGCGGGTAATCCAGCCCAAGCCGATTACTTCGGCGATCAAGCTTGTTATCAAA